GTTCCTAGAAGCGCGTAAATGATTTGAGAAGGAATCTTTTTACGGACAAAATATTTAGATCCTTCCCAATTTACACTCAGATATAAATACTAAGTGCTTTCAACCACAAGACCTTGCATTTTCCCAAGTAAACGACGAACACATGTAAATAAGATTATGTCATCAACACGTTGTAAACAAAGATTAATACGTATTCACCTTTAAAAGCGTGCGCATCGCGGAAAAGATATTTCCTCGCCAGTATTTCCCGTGCGTCTCTTTTCCGCTCAAGGAAAAGGAACTACGTAAAAATAACACCGAATCAAAAACAAAAATTCTCTATCGTTCAATCAGTCTACGGGGCAAATAAGTGTAGGTATCCAGTTATTTCCTAAGGAAACATTTTAACCCTTCTTAAAACTTCCTGATGTGCCAGGTTACACCCAGAAAAGGCTTGACATTTTTCTCGAGTTGAAAATCACGTTACAAAATAAAAATTCCACCGGTTGAAAAATTATACCGGCTTTGGAAACGTTTCTGCTGACGGAGGCGTTTTAGATTTGCGAAGAACAACACTATAATTATTTGTCACAGCTACTTCTTCATTTGAACTCTCCCTCAGGGAAATTTCTAATTCTATGCTTTTGTGTACTGTCTGAATCTGCCTCAATGCGTGTTTGTAGTCTTAATTGACACTGCAAGCTATTAGCAAGTTCATAAGTCATAGTCTGTTGCGCATTAAATTTTGCCTTGATTCTTAGCAAAGGACCACTGACAATCCAAACTCAGTGTGACCCTTCGGTAAGACCAAGCCTCTCTAATAATCCATAATTAGTTGTTGAGTTGAAACGAAAATCGAAGTAGTCGTACATACCGCCGGATAAAACAGGAAAAATTAATAATTACAAAGACGTTGCCGTCAGGCCGTGCGAGGTAAAACGTCTCACGGTGTTTACAGTTCTTTGTAAACGTCTGTAGCAAAGATTCCAAATCGCATGTAAGTAATTGAGAACATAAAAACCGCTATTTCTAAGCTTTTAAGAAGATTTCGACAGATTTAGCGCTGCTTCACGGTGATGCTTCAGATCAGCTTCATTTAAACCGCCGATGAATAGTCACGAAATACAAAGATACAAGTATTGTGGTTAATTTGCTGTAAAAGTTGCTCAACATAAATATTTGTTTAGAAGACTCAGGAATACATTTTGCCGGTGTCTACTTCTCTGAGAAGATATAAAAGGTAAAAATCACCTCAGGCGAAGAAGTGAGACTTAATATGAAATCTTAGCAAATTACTTGCATGTCGTTTGACATCAATGCCTTCAGACTGAGCGAGCAGTCCATTCAGAATTAATTTTCCGCCAAGTATTGAACACCAACAATTCAATGTAAATATATGAAACGGAATATTCAAAATCACGTGCGATGAAAAATTTTACGAACAGAGAATAACCGCAAAGAAGGTTTTCCTAAGTAAACATCCAAATTTAAAGGCACTTGAATTGAACTTACCACTTCTGACCGTTATAGGAATGTGTTGCTACAGTATAACCAAAGAGGTCGCTTTCGGCGGGGCCATCATAGATAACCGGCGATTTGACGTCCAAGTTGAAGGCGAAAACTTTACCAAGAGTTAAAATAAATGCAAAATGAAGGACATTCGTTGATGGCCTTAGTTCCATTGCTAATAATAAGGTGACTGCTGCTTTCAAATTCAAAGTTTATGTCGGCCGTGTTTTGACCGAAACTGAAGTGAGAGGAAAGAGTTATAGTTTTCACAAATGACGTCACAATTCCGGCTGAATAGTAAGCGACCCCGCCAAATATTACAGTGGGCGTAGATCGATTGAGTCATAAACCACTTTTGATTTGAAGAAGATAACATTAGAACCCACTAATTGCGGTTAAAAAATATTAAGAGGTGATATCTCCCATTTTCCTTTCAAGAAAAAAACAGATTCATGAACACGAGTTTCGTCCATTGTGAAGTATCAATTTCTGACCGTACCGACCAATTGATCAAACTTAAAGATAAATTTGTTGTTTTAGCTCTTCAAATTGTTTGGGGTACTTGAAATCTTAGCTAAACTTTTTCCTCTGGCTTCATCTTTGAGTTGACCTCTAACATGCAAAATAAACACGCACTTTCAATTTGATCAAAAGACCCATTTGATTATCCGAAAACAAAATGTATAGCCGAACCTCAAGAATCTCGGTGAGAGACGTGATTTAAATTGAATAAGCTACACAGCTGGCTTACGTGGAAGTTTTAATTTCAATATAAAGTCACGCTTTATATTTTGTGTGCATTCCTTGATTTCAATCTAATACGAACCAGATCTGTCCAAAGCATGAAACTTTCCCCATTTCAAAGTAACTGCCCCCGAAGAGCCATAGTACTAAATCTTGATGGTTTTAAAGTAAATAAAATTTTCAACATTAATTTCTTAACAACGAAGAAGAGGATTTTTACTTTATGGCTTTTTCGAAAAGATGTTTTTTTTTAAACGCCTTTAAAAGTAGATGAGACAACCTGTTGCGTGAATAATAGCAAGCCATTACCCAGAGAAGATCGACTTTTAATCATTTTACGTCACATAACAGACAAATAACTGAAGGTCTTTAAGTATCTGGGGAAGTTCAAACGTAGGAAAATAGCAAATTCTAAACGGATCGGGTTCAGACAGAAAGACATATGAGGGCGTATGAACGATCGCCCCCAAAATATGTGAAACATCAATTCAAGGGGATTCCTGTGACACCTTTGCGTCTTCTGTCATTATGCATTTTTTGAATAACATGATCCGAGTTTTATCCTCACTGCCAGTCCTCTGCGTGGGTGGTGAGCTGGCGGGGGCCTGGGAAAAGGTGGACATTTCAGACATGAGAGATATATTTTACAACAGTTCGGACTAACAACCTTAAGTTTGCCGGTGACTACAAAATTTTTTTTAGTAAGATAGAGAAGACTAGAGAGATAAGGAAAGACCGTAAAGGTTTAAGGATAGGGCGGAAAATGGAGACAATTGTTCATTAGACAGCTACTGAAAAAAACTCCAGCCCAATTTTTTTTAAGACACAAAACGCTAGACTTAGATCTTCCCTTTTCTGTCGAGAAACTTTTTGTTGTTTCTAGGTATAGTGTTATCATAAAGTAAATCAAGTTGATGAACAACATCACAAAACAAGTACATGGCCTGGCCCGGCTTCGTTAAGGTTTCTTCCTCGGTTCAACATCTATATCACAAAATTGACTCGACCGTTCAAAATGACGCAAAGGGTATTTCCGCAATCTAGTGCGAGAAGCTCTGACTGTGGTTATTTTTTTTCTTTGCCAGATCAATTGAATGCCTATCCTGCTGATAAGAATGTATTTGCACCCCTCCAAAAAAAGAGATCACATAAAAAAGGGTTCTGTCAACTATAATCTTAAATTGTCGGTCAACCCTTTGCTTTTCGGTTACATATTTCGGGTTATATTCTGTGTTGTAAGGGTTCAAAAGGATCGTAATCGCAAAAATTCTTTAATTCCGTGTTACCGTGCCGAATTCCTACTGGAAAAAATTCAACCTGCACGCAATAAATGATAAGGCAATCTTATTGCGTGCTGGCTTGAATATTTCATATGATGAAGGATCACGAGGCTGACAATGGGTGGTATAGCATTTTCTGCCTAGCTGCTATGACGTCATTGCTTTGAAATGCTATACCGGCCGATCCTAGGGCTGAGATCTAGCTTAACTATATAACAGCACTTGAAACACATCCTTGTGGATTAGTTTACAAATAATTATTTTTTGGATAAAACTTAAGCACGCTTTGCTTACTATTTACCAATGTTTACATTTCGCCAATCTTTTCAAGTTCTTCGATTTCAATATAACGACGCATTTATAGCGCAAAATACCATAATTTATCGTACGGAAGCAATAAAATAAATACCGTTATGGGTTAATCATTCATTATCATGTTCGCTGTCATTATTATTGTTACAATTATTATCATTATCATTAGTATATTTCAAAAAAGTGAAGAATGCTTTTAGCGCGCGCTGATTGGTTAGTTCGAAAGTGAATAGCAAGCACTATTCACTGAGCAGCCGATGAGAGTTCACTTTTAGACCATTTTTCGGTTTATTTAAAGAAATAAACCTATTTTATGGTATTTTTGTGTTATGTACTAAAATAATTATTCACTTCTGCACCAGCCTCGCTTCGCGGCTCGGTAAATATCCGCCACTATTCACCTCAACTTCGGTGAACAATTATTTCATCCCAGACCTCGTGGGGATTAGAAGCCAAACAGAGACAACACGCCTGTCGAGCCAGGATGTAAACCCCACCCACTCTATCATTCTTCTTACTTCAATACGGCTGGACTGTCGGTAGCTTAGTTATTTTTATATGGCGGAACTGAACATTTTTAGACTGAAGGTCGGAATAATCCATTTTGCTACACCCTGTTATTGGTTAAAAAAAAATCGTGTCAGTTACACTACTTATCAATAAAG